GTACTGGTTTTATTTGGAATCCAATCTAAAAATGCTACCCTAAACATTAAAGATTTTTAACAATGTTTTTTTTTGCTTTATATGATCATGAATAAAGTAATCACTTTCTTGCCTGTTTTGCAAATTTATGTCTCAGTTCACTTTTTCCGCCCTTAGGTGGGTGCAGAATAATAAAATCATTCAACTAGATAAATAATTTATTAAAATAGATTAGAAACCTGAAAAATCAAATGTTTTCTGGAAAATGCTTTGCTGAATACTTTAAAAACTGTTACTGGTCCTGTAATGTATATGGACTGATGGGAAGGGGGAAAATAGTAAAACTCCATGAAGTTTATTGATAATCATAATCTGTATCAACTTATTCAAATCCTCCTTATCAGAATTTGAAATGGGACCTTTGATAATGTAAATGAAATTAGATGAAGTAGTGGTTGCAAGGAAGCAAGATAGAAAACGTTTCTTAACAGGATATAAAATATGTGGTTTCGATAATTGCACCATAATGTACCTTTGCACTATTTTTAATTTTTATGCATGGCTTGGATGTAGATCATTCAGTCTATAGAGTTCTGTTTATTTTTACATATAAGCAGCCTCTTCCCGTGAATTGAAAGCCCGTATCCAAAGCTTAAGCTAATCCATTCAATGAAGGAGCTACTGTAGGAGAGCAACAATCACTAAACAAAATGAGTTTAGAATCTCATTATGCTAATTTCTATTGTGTGCTTGATCTCGACCTCTGAGAGAACCCTGTTTGGATTTCAAAAACGCCTATGAAAATATCTATTAGCACAAGTATCTGTAATGAGAACTAGGCAGGCATATGCTTCCCATTCCCTCCATAAATGCATTTTTCCCTTCTTGTTGTATTAGGTCAGCTCCCCCCCTCCCCCTCCCCTTGATTTGCTGAGGTCACTTCTTGACTTGTGTCTTAGACAGATGGTGAATGAAAGAAGGGCTTGGTGGATTCTCGAAGGAACGATGGAGAGCTTTTCCCTGCCCTTGGAGGTCTCTGGCCACTTTACCCCCAGCGCAGAATCTCACAGCTGTAGTGAGCCAAGTTTTTACAAACTGTATCCACAGTGAGTTTCTATGGCAACGGTATCTTAGAGCACACAAACAGGATTGGCAAGGGAATTCCTTCTTCTCCTTCTCCTTCTCCTTCTCCTTCTCCTT